GCCACGCTGAGCCAGCGCGGCGGTGAGTTGCACCTTGGGACACCACCCGCCTACTATCTGTTGTGTCCTGGTTCGCCCGCGAGGGACTCACTAGGTCGAGTTCGGCCCCGGCCGGGGAGCAGGCCGAGGAGGGGGAGAGATGGAGTGTTATCGAGTGTAAATACAGGGTTTTCCCAACGATGAAGCGAAAACAACGAAATGTCAAGCGTTGAACGATAAGTTTTGCGACCAGAAAAGGGGGGTACAATCTCTTGTGCCCCCCTTCAAATGTGTATATCTACTTGTTAGGTGATTTTTTTTTTTTTTTAGGGCGCCATCGCGTTCGCCTGCTCAAACCCCGTCGATATCAACCGAGAAACAAAAAAAAACGGCATGNGGTGATTTTCTTTTTTTTTTAGGGCGCCATCGCGTTCGCCTGCCCAAACCCCGCCGATATCAGCCAAGAACAAAATAAAAACCGGCATGATTACGAGTGTGGTTATCGAGATATTGGACGAAAAGCTTCATCCCCTCCCTCCCAAAAACGCCTGGAAAAACCTATACGAAAACCACGAATTCTCAGAAACGTCTCAAATTGATCTGGTCCCTGAACAACTCTTGTGGCATTTGTGATGGAGATCAATACTAAAAAAAAAAAACTATTGATGAAGTTATGGCCGGTCAATTGAAATCGGCGGGACAACCGGTGGAACTGCTGTACTGCTGCCAAAGAGCAGCAGACTTAAGACTAAAAGAGAAGACTTCTGCCTACGGCAGGCCGGGCAATAGCTGCGCGATACCCCTCTTCCACGTCACACGCCCACCATCTTTACCCAATGCCCCTTGCGTTGGTGCTGCCCAAACCCAAGAGATGTAAGCGCTCTGAACACACGGGCCTCTTCGGTGTTACCGTGCAAACAAGGCAGTGTCCAATGTTGGTGACCTGGGCGTGAATTTCGTTCAACACGGGAAGCTAAACTTGACCGTGTAGAGGACTTTGAAACGGAGCCTTGGCCAATTCCGTACCGTATCGCCCATGGCACGTGCCGCGGAACAAATAACATTTGAATGATGGTATGTACAGGTCCAAGAAGTTGACGTTGTTCAATCGCGCCCTTCGACCATGCGTCCAACACTTACCCCCCTAACGCCTTGCCCAACATGTCACCACGGTACACTAAAAAATAGCACATTAGCGTAGCATCGGGCCTGCTCTAATGGCACCTAGGCTTTGGCTAGCTGCTACTCCTTTCTATTGCCTTTCGACCAAACCTTACCGCCTTGCGTGCGCACTCTACGCACCAAGTTGAGGTTGCGGGGGGGAGTCATACGCAACGATTTTTTCTCTTCCCAGATCTAGCAGAGCGTCGCCCTCATGCTGGCTGCCTTGTAAGCGGGCGAGAGGAGTCTGCCCAGGGTTTGGCGGCCGGTCTTTCACCCCGCCTAACCGCGACTTGCGCCCACGCCCCAATGCGTCCTCCAGCCCAGCCACCTCTAACGCCGTTCTCTCCATCAAGGCGTCTTTGTCCTCCTTCCCGTCTCCCGATTCCAAGACAACCCCCGCTGTTGCCCCGGCGTGCTCTAATTTAGCTGTTCTCTTCCCGTCAAGCGTCGCGGAAGCTGCCGTCGGTCCCGAACCTTTCTTGGGGGAGACGGGACGCGATACCCTACGACCCCCTTCGACGTCGTTGCCAGCTGCCGCCCGCCACGCCAGTGGATGACGCAGGTCCCCGCCCCCTCCCCCCCCTTCACTACCTCCCTGTTCTATTGCTTCCTCCTCTATTTTTTTACGCAAGAAGCTCCCGTACGATTCGTGGTAGGCCCTGGCGAAAGCTAACCGAGACCTCCGCACTAGCGAAAAAATAGTGGAAGGCCGGTCTACTGTTGCGACCCCGGCTTCAATCGCGAACTCAAGCCGCGCCAGCGGCCCCCACCCAGCCTTGAGCAGCCACGGACCTGCATCGATCGGACGTGTTGTGACAGAACACCACACGTGGGAGCGAGTCGGGTGTAGCTATGCGTCCAGGTGATCCGTCCGGGGTGGGCCAATGAGGGCACAGCAGTGTCATGAAAGGTATGTGGCAAGAATAAACGCAGGCAGCAGGACGAACCCATGCCTGGCTGCCAGTGCACAGTTGTGGTGACGTTTCTCAAGCCACCACAGCTGACGTGTTTTGACTCGAATATCCCAGCAAACCTCAACGAACTACACCCAAAAACAAATTGTATGCAGTACACGATCAGACTACAACTTACTTGGCTGTGCGAATCAGAGAGCCAACAATGTAGATGCACGACCGAGCTTTTGGGATATACCAGGGAGACTGAAGTGCCAAAGAGTGCACTAAAAGTTCGAAGCTACGACCAAATAGACGCCTGAATTCAGACCCGGCGGTACTACAACGGTCGCGGGAACAAGGCCAACTACCGTGTTCATACCCTGTTCCACTAGACGGTCCAGCCCTTCCTGGTCCAGCCCAACGGCCTGCTGTATCCACATCGCCTTGGACCTAACGGTGCGATCGACATCGAGATACATTATCCCGGGTGTCCTAGACACCATCTTGGTCACGTTGGCGGAAGGGAAAAGCTCCTGCAGCTTCGTCACCTGCCCGGCGTGCGAACGGGGTTGCGAGACCATGGTCATCGTTTTGAAGGCATGATCACACAAAAATGAAGCCGGTGGTTGTTCAGAGAGGATCGCCCCGTCCTGTTAAGAAGCGCAAGAAGCGTTTCTACGGAACTTGTGAAGTAGAGTGGGTCGAGGGCTCAGCATGTACACGTCCGTGGAAGCCACGCCACCTACACCCAGAGATCTCAAACAGAACTATTGACAGCAGCTCGTGGCCATCCATTCATGCTTCGGAAATACATGCTGGGTTGCAGTTTTTGACACTCAAAGCAAGAGGTACTCCAACGTACATGGTAACCTCCTTCGGAGCAGGTAGCTATGATTGGACTCGTTTCCGTGTCTGTTCAGCCGCACCTTTGTTGGCAGGCTGGTGACGCCGCGTATCAACACCCCCGGCGCATTCGATATGACGTTGGTTACGTTCACCCCGGGAAGAAGGGACATCAAGTTATCGACCTGCTCACGTCGGAGGGTGCGATCGGCGGAGCGGGAGAAAACAGGGCGACGGGTCGAGTCGGCGAAGGTCTTTTTAGTCGAGAATGGTGGAACAGCAACTAACAACAAAACGACGAAAATCAGCCCAAAACAAAGAACAATTCTTGGCAAGAGTCTCTTCGACACTTCTGTATACATAGATGGCAGAGAACAACATGACGCGGGGTCCGGGTTCATGGACAGTCGCACGCACAGCTTACCAACACCTTCGAAGGGGGCTACAATAGAGTGAAACCTCACCATTCGTTTTCAGGGGGTACTGTAACTGCTGTGAACTCAGAGTAAGTGTTCTGTCACGGGGATATCTGTTTGTTATTTCTACACGTTCTGAGTCCACTGCGCCCCCATCCAGAAAGCACGTGCTTATGTACTTTCACACGAACAGCTACAGTGAGGTTGGAATGAAAAAATAAACAAAGCTACCGTTGGCACCGAAACAAAAAAATGCCTTTCTGCGCTTGCCTTGATGGACAGTGAGCCGTTGGCACCGCTCATGCGCACCAACGATGGAGCCGACTCCACGATCCGCACTAGCTCTCGGTTGCTCGCTGACGGGAAACGCTGATGTGTTGTTCATGTTGTATTCCAAGCAGCCGCGTCGAGATGGTCAAGGTTCAGGTGTATGTGCAAAAACAGTAGTCGGAGTCGGCACACTCACATGTGCAAACCGTTGTTGTTGATAAAAGAACCGCGCTCTCATGTGCAAGCCGTCGTTTTTGATAGAGATGAATGGATGGCACCATGCCGAAGCATGCACGACACGGTAGCGGCCATAGCGATGGAGCGACACAACACGCGGATCGTCTGACACAATACATGACGAGGTGGCGCTGCCAAACCTACGACAACGACATGTGCGTACACCAGCATCCAACTGAAACACTACCAACAGAACAACCCATGCAAGGCTTGTATGGCTATTCGCCGCCGCCGTTGCCTTCTCCCCTTCCGAGGGCGCCGGTCCACTTCTACGGAGATTCGAAAGAAAAAACTCACTTCTCGGAGTTGGTCCATGCCTCGCGGCACGGTCTGTTTGCTCCTGGCCAAGGCGGTTGGCATGCCCTTGAGAAAGTTGTAGAGGTCTATCCCTGGCAGGCATGCCCTTAAAGCAGCCACCTTCTCCTCCACGGTGTGGGCGGGGAGGTAGACCATCGATGGGGCTGCCTGCGCAATGCAGCAGCAGCAGTAGCAGCGAGCGGCGACCGTTGATGTTGTTACGACCCCTAATTCCAAAAGAATATCCGCCCAGGCTACAACCGAAAGGTGGCTTTCCCGTCGAAATGGCGCCGTGCCATAATCTCAAACAAACAAAAAACTCTTCAGCCCACGCGGACCGCTGCATAACCTACCGAAGGACAAAGCCGACCACCTAGAGGCACGCATTGCGTGAATTAAATGAACTATCGCTTGTTTAGACCCGGCGAGATTCCCGTGTTACTGTATGAGCGCAGCAGCTCTCATCAGAAACACGGAAAGCCTAAGGTTGGCAACACCAGAAACACCTTGTGTGGTTCGCGCTGTTTGGTGTGCTTAAGCTCAAGACCTGTTTGGACGTATAACCGCATTGATGAATGCTGATGGAATGACGTCTCGCCGAGATGGGTGTCATTGTGGTCACAATTGCAGAAGATATGCATGCACAAGCATACACGCATACCTCTTTTCCTTATTCAGCCGGCTATGCGATCTATCTACGCCTACGTGCGCAACTCGCGGGCGCCTGTTCGCGGGCACAATACACCTGAAATATGGCGGAATCCACCTCTGGAGCGTACTTCTTGAGCCCAGCAATATTATCTTCCAGCCTGCGGCGGCGAGACGCACAAGAGCATCCGCGTTGCAAACCCCGTTGAACAAAGCGTCCAGAACAAGGACGGTCTTAGCTTCCACCAGAGCAACAACACTTGGCAAAGCCACCTCGATAAGAAGGGCTGCTTTGTTACTACAGAGCAGCTACTGCTGTATTGTTGTTCAAGGTTGGACCGACGTCAAGACTGGGAGGACAGGTCAATTTCTTCCTTGCTCTACCCCTAGTCTTCCGTTTTCTCTCTCTCGCTCTCTCTCTCTCTCTCTCTCTCTCTCTCTCTCTCTC